ATCTTACAAGGTAGACCAGTCTGACGTGTGTAGTGTTGGTGACCATCTACAAGGTAGACCAGTCTGACATGTAGTGTTGGTGACCATCTACAAGGTAGTCCAGTCTGACGGTGTGTAGTGTTGGTGACCATCTACAAGGTAGACCAGTCTGGCATGTAGTGTTGGTGACCATCTACAAGGTAGACCAGTCTGACATGTAGTGTTGGTGACCATCTACAAGGTAGACCAGTCTGGCGTGTAGTGTTGGTGACCATCTACAAGGTAGACCAGTCTGACGTGTAGTGTTGGTGACCATCTACAAGGTAGACCAGTCTGGTGTGTAGTGTGTTGGTGACCATCTACAAGGTAGACCAGTCTGACGTGTAGTGTTGGTGACCATCTACAAGGTAGACCAGTCTGACATGTAGTGTTGGTGACCATCTCTGACCAGTGTAGTGTTGGTGACCATCTACAAGGTAGACCAGTCTGACATGTGTAGTGTTGGTGACCATCTACATCTACAAGGTAGACCAGTCTGACGTGTAGTGTTGGTGACCATCTACAAGGTAGACCAGTCTGACGTGTAGTGTTGGTGACCATCTACAAGGTAGACCAGTCTGGCGTGTAGTGTTGGTGACCATCTACAAGGTAGACCAGTCTGACGTGTAGTGTTGTCTACAAGGTAGACCAGTCTGACATGTGAGTGTTGGTGACCATCTACAAGGTAGACCAGTCTGACGTGTAGTGTTGGTGACCATCTACAAGGTAGACCAGTCTGGCGGTGTAGTGTTGGTGACCATCTACAAGGTAGACCAGTCTGACGTGTGTAGTGTTGGTGACCATCTACAAGGTAGACCAGTCTGACGTGTAGTGTTGGTGACCATCTACAAGGTAGACCAGTCTGGCGTGTAGTGTTGGTGACCATCTACAAGGTAGACCAGTCTGACATGTAGTGTTGGTGACCATCTACAAGGTAGACCAGTCTGACGTGTGTAGTGTTGGTGACCATCTACAAGGTAGACCAGTCTGACGTGTGTGTAGTGTTGGTGACCATCTCTACAAGGTAGACCAGTCTGACCAGTCTGGCGTGTAGTGTTGGTGACCATCTACAAGGTAGACCAGTCTGGCCATGTAGTGTGTGGTGACCATCTACAAGGTAGACCAGTCTGACGTGTAGTGTTGGTGACCATCTACAAGGTAGACCAGTCTGGTGTGTAGTGTTGGTGACCATCTACAAGGTAGACCAGTCTGGTGTGTAGTGTTGGTGACCATCTACAAGGTAGACCAGTCTGACATGTAGTGTTGGTGACCATCTACAAGGTAGACCAGTCTGGTGTGTGTAGTGTTGGTGACCATCTACAAGGTAGACCAGTCTGGTGTGTAGTGTTGGTGACCATCTACAAGGTAGACCAGTCTGGTGTGTGTAGTGTTGGTGACCATCTACAAGGTAGACCAGTCTGACGCTGGTGTATGTAGTGTTGGTGACCATCTACAAGGTAGACCAGTCTGACCATGTAGTGTTGGTGACCATCTACAAGGTAGACCAGTCTGACGTGTAGTAGTGTTGGTGACCATCTACAAGGTAGACCAGTCTGACGTGTGTAGTGTTGGTGACCATCTACAAGGTAGACCAGTCTGAGACGTCTGGTGTAGTGTTGGTGACCATCTACAAGGTAGACCAGTCTGGTGTGTAGTGTTGGTGACCATCTACAAGGTAGACCAGTCTGACCAGTCTGTGTAGTGTTGGTGACCATCTACAAGGTAGACCAGTCTGACGCACCATCTACAAGGTAGTAGTGTTGGTGACCATCTCTACAAAGGTAGACCAGTCTGACATGTAGTGTTGGTGACCATCTACAAGGTAGACCAGTCTGACGTGTGTAGTGTTGGTGACCATCTACAAGGTAGACCAGTCTGACGTGTAGTGTTGGTGACCATCTACAAGGTAGACCAGTCTGACGTGTAGTGTTGGTGACCATCTACAAGGTAGACCAGTCTGACGTGTAGTGTTGGTGACCATCTACAAGGTAGACCAGTCTGGTGTGTAGTGTTGGTGACCATCTACAAGGTAGACCAGTCTGGCGTGTAGTGTTGGTGACCATCTACAAGGTAGACCAGTCTGACGTATGTAGTGTTGGTGACCATCTACAAGGTAGACCAGTCTGACCAGTCTGACGTAGTGTTGGTGACCATCTACAAGGTAGACCAGTCTGACGTGTGTAGTGTTGGTGACCATCTACAAGGTAGACCAGTCTGACGTGTAGTGTTGGTGACCATCTACAAGGTAGACCAGTCTGGCGTGTAGTGTTGGTGACCATCTACAAGGTAGACCAGTCTGGTGTGTAGTGTTGGTGACCATCTACAAGGTAGACCAGTCTGACATGGTAGTGTTGGTGACCATCTACAAGGTGACCAGTCTGTGTAGTGTTGGTGACCATCTACAAGGTAGACCAGTCTGGCATGTAGTGTTGGTGACCATCTACAAGGTAGACCAGTCTGACGCGTGTAGTGTTGGTGACCATCTACAAGGTAGACCAGTCTGTGTAGTGTTGGTGACCATCTACAAGGTAGACCAGTCTGGTGTGTAGTGTTGGTGACCATCTACAAGGTAGACCAGTCTGGCGTGTAGTGTTGGTGACCATCTACAAGGTCTGGTGTAGTGTGGTGACCAGTCTGGTAGACCAGTCTGGTGTAGTGTTGGTGACCATCTACAAGGTAGACCAGTCTGACATGTGTAGTGTTGGTGACCATCTACAAGGTAGACCAGTCTGACGTGTAGTGTTGGTGACCATCTACAAGGTAGACCAGTCTGGTGTGTAGTGTTGGTGACCATCTACAAGGTAGACCAGTCTGGTGTGTAGTGTTGGTGACCATCTACAAGGTAGACCAGTCTGGTGTGTAGTGTTGGTGACCATCTACAAGGTAGACCAGTCTGGTGTGTAGTGTTGGTGACCATCTACAAGGTAGACCAGTCTGACGTGTAGTGTTGGTGACCATCTACAAGGTAGACCAGTCTGACCAGTCTGACATGTAGTGTTGGTGACCATCTACAAGGTAGACCAGTCTGACATGTAGTGTTGGTGACCATCTACAAGGTAGACCAGTCTGACATGTAGTGTTGGTGACCATCTACAAGGTAGACCAGTCTGGTGTGTAGTGTTGGTGACCATCTACAAGGTAGACCAGTCTGACATGTAGTGTTGGTGACCATCTACAAGGTAGACCAGTCTGTGTAGTGTTGGTGACAATCTACAAGGTAGACCAGTCTGGTGTGTAGTGTTGGTGACCATCTACAAGGTAGACCAGTCTGGCATCGTGTAGTGTTGGTGACCATCTACAGTCTGGCATGTAGTGTTGACCAGTCTGACATGTAGTGTTGGTGACCATGACCAACATTAAGAAAATCTCTGTAACGAAATTGTTTGAACAACAGTTTATTTTGATAAGCAATTTTAACAAGCTACATATGCCTTAAGAGTGAGCACACTGTGTGAATGGCCCTTGTGTGACGTATGTGAAAGGTGTTCCCAGCCTCTTGTAACACATCTCTCTCAAATACATGACATGTTTTATGGTGATTGATGGAGCAAGAATCTAGCTCAGAAGCTAAAAAAGGAAGTTGTTATCCATAAAACATGTCATATATTCATGTTGTCCAACTTCTAAATGCCTTTCAAGGACTACAACTACCTTTTGTGACTTTTGGGGGGATTATTGAATGTATGTTCAGGGGCATGTATATAATTCATATTTGCCTAACTTGATCACATTTATCAATCACATTAATATTATTTGTCCATATTGATTGGCTTGTTATGAGCAGACACAGCTCTGATCAAGTAAAGAGTAACAATTAGTAAATCACAGATATCCTTGTTCAAAAACAGATTAACTATTGGACTTGATGTTTGTTAATTCCTCATAATTACTTCCATGTCACAGTGGCGGACGATGACATTTGTCAGTCTTCGGTACTTACTTCGCACCTTTGCCAAGTGATGTTAAACTAATGATTCAGTTACTTAATGCACGGACAGAGTTTACACATTTGTACTGAAGGACAAGAGCCTGATAAGTTCCCAACATTTGTCATTACACTCTACATAATCAATAAAGTAAACGTAATATTTCAGCAACAATCTCCATGAATATTACTCCCAACTTCTTGAATTCAGTTTTGTTATTTGCAAAGTTGATTGATCTGTCAGAAAGCCTTGTTTTCTGTGCAACCTGACGTGTCACTGTTACATTGCTGCATGGTAACTGGCAGTTTGACATATTGTGTGCTTCTGAATTATATTGACAAGAATCTCTTTTGTCATTTGTTCATTTTGGGTACACAAATTCACTAAGGATGGATGTTTCAATAATTTCTGGTTAGTGTCAGTTAGGGGTGGTGGGGTAGCCTAGTGGTTAAAGCATTGGCTCGTCACGCCGAGGATCCGGGCTCGATTCCCCACATGGGCACAATGTGTTAAGCCCATTTCTGGTGTCCCCCGCCGTGATATTGCTGGAATATTGCTAAAGCGGCGTAAAACTAAACTCAGTCAGTCAGTAGTGTCAGTTATTTCTTCGGTTGATGAAGTAAGACCTTTTTTGACAATTTGTCAATTCAGCTGTCCCTAAAACATGAAAAACAATATAGTTTTTTATTTCGCCTGCACTTTTACTTCTTCACACCCCTAATCCCATTTTCTCCAGTCATGGTTCACCCGTGAAGATCCGGGTTAGAATTGATCTTCAGCAACCCATGCTTGTCGTAAGAGGCTACTAACGGGATTGGGTGGTCAGGCATGCTGACTTGGTTGACACATGTGATCGTATCCCAATTGCGTAGATTGATGCTCATGCTGTTGATCACTGGATTGTCTGGTCCAGACTCGATTATTTACAGACCGGCGACATATAGGTGAAATATTGCTGAGTGAGGCGTAAAACTAAACTCACTCACTCACTCCAGTCATGGTTCAATCTTTGAATTGACCTATGAGACTTGTGATGTGTCATTTTGTCTCTGACAGGGAGTACTACTGGGCCAACTACGTCACAGGGCTGGGGGCATCTCTCCACGAGCTTGGACACACCTTTGACCTTGCACACACACCTTCAGGGATCATGGCTCGAGGTTTCGATGACCTCCACAAAGTGTTTACCATCCAGCGGCTGCGGAGCAATGGCGCTGCAGCTCTGGACGACAGCGCTACAACAGCAACAGCAGCAGCATATCAAGGACACCCTCCAGCAGCAGTATAGAGGGCTCCCCACTCTCCATGTCGCTAGAAGCAAATCAACGAAGATATAAAGATGTCTGCTATGGCAGTCCTTACAAGCGGGTAGGTTCAACATGGGGTAGATGATTAAAGAATGTAACTGACTAATTAACAGAGAGATAGTATACATATGCTAGACACATTTTTCTTAAACAACAGACCCGTAAAGATTCAGGTTAGAATTGGTCTTCAGTAACCCATGCTTGTCATAAGAGGCGACTAATGGGATCGGGTGGTCAGGCTCACTGACTTGGTTGACATGTCATTGTATACCAATTGCATAGATCGATGCTCATGCTGTTGATCATTGGATCGTCTGGTCCAGACTCGATTATTTACAGACTGCTGCCATATAGCTGAAATATTGCTGAGTGTGGCATCAATCAATCAATCTTAAACAGCATATTCTGCTGATGAGAACAGTACTGTGCGGTTACAATGTAGCAAAATCATTGTATAAAGAATGAAGGGCTGCTTTCATGCACTGAAGAAATGTACAACCTGTCTATCAAATGGAAATTCATTTATCATTCATGACTTTTTGTGTATAATTTGTGATTAATTATCTGTGATAGACTGACTGACAGATATGTCAAGTAGGGTACTAGCAAGTAAGTACATGTTGGCCCAGTGCCAGCAGAGATGCCAGCCCTAATTGAAACTTTAGAGTAGGTTAAAAAAGAGTAATTTCATGGGGGAAAAAAAGTAATGGCTGTCACCTTTGAGAATCTCCAATGCAGGTTTTTGTTTTGCATTTTTTGTTACGGCTAGAAGTAAGTGAAATACATGGTCAGAGCTACACACTTTCCTAAATTCATCATGTGAATAGGTAGTGTTGTGAGTCCCGAAGTAATGTCCCTGTCTGAACCTGTGTTATATCCTTGTATTGCAGAGTAATGGATATTTTAAAGTACAGTATGTGACTTGAAACCATGGCTCAAGACTCACTGGTCAGCTTAGTCTAGCTGCAGAAGGCTTCATGTAACTGTTACTCTCTCTGTGATATTTCACACATTTGAATTATTTGTAAAAAAGTGATGAAAGTCATACTTTTGGTGAGGATAAGTACTCTGTACTGTAATTATTCATATGGGGTTCACCCAAGGACAAGTACTCAGTACTGTAATTATTCATATGGGGTTCACCCAAGGACAAGTACTCAGTACTGTAATTATTCATATGGGGTTCACCCAAGGACAAGTACTCAGCACTGTAATTATTCATATGGGGTTCACCCAAGTGTCTCTCCAACAGCTGAAATACTGGTCACAATGACGTGATGAGACGTGATGAGATCATTCTCTAACCTGCCATATTGTTTCAGATTTCCCGGTCAAGCAGTAGCAATAGCATATACATAGCCCCACCCCCTCTGGTTGTCAAGGTGGAGACAGGATTCAAACCCGTGAAATCCCCATCAATGCTTACTTTCTCTGTGAAGAACTATGATGGCTCCGAGACCCACAGAACTATAGCTCAGGACCCAGGAGGAGAGACAGTGACAGAGCTCAATGTGGCCACGGACGGGAAGCTCCATAGTGGAAAGGCCACTCGCAGAGGTTTGTCCATGTACAGGAACAACTGTACAGTACATTCACCAGATAGTTGGGTTAACTGATTATTACCTTACAATGTCTTGAGAACAATACTTAACTTCATCAAGAAAAGTGCCCATGTATACATGTATAAGAGGTTGGGATTGATTGTGTATATGCTTATGCGTACATCAGAGATGCCAACCACTCCGATTTTGTCGGAGTTACTCTGATTTTCAAATACAAGATCTGCTCTCTGATTTATCTTTGAAAAGTCTGATTTTTATAAATAATACTGAAATTATTTTTACGGTATACAATTTCGTAAGTCACCGTCGATTTATTTGAGTGAAAGCATTCAGAAGCTTAGCGTGTGATCCTTTGGGTGTCTATTGTGTTATTGACGATGAAGTTTCACAAAGTTTTTCTGAATGCATGTCATAGTCCGTATGAAAGTGAAACAAAATGGCAGAGCCGACCACACGCTCACCCCCAACTCACACCTTTGGTGCTCAGGCCTGGATTTCAGCCAGTCATTACTCCGTTTTCCTTAGATTCAGGGTTCGCATCTCTGGTACATGGGGAAATGATTGACTGAATGACTATGTGTACATGGGTAAAAGATTGACTATATGATTATGTGTACATGGGGAAATGATTGAGTATTCTTATGTGCACTTGGGGAATGATTGACTGTATGGTTATTTTACAAACTAATGATTGAGTTTATGGTTATGCGTACATGGGGAAATGATTGACAATTCTTATGTACACCTGGGGTATGATTAACTATATGATTATTTGTTGCAAACTAATGATTGAGTTTATGGTTATGCGTACATAGGGAAATGATTGAGTATAAGGTTAGGTGTACATGGGATAATGATTGAGTATAAGATTAGGTTACATGGGGAAATGATTGAGTTTATGGTTATACATACATGGGGAAATGATTGAGTATAAGGTAAGGTGTACATGGGAAAATGATTGAGTATAAGATTAGGTTACATAGGGAAATGAATGAGAATATGATTATTTACCTGTTACCTGTTTTTCCATGCCAAGGGAAACTATATCACTCAGAAATAGATTGATTATAATCCAGGGTCAGTGATGTCAACCTCTTTGTTGATCTGAAGTGCTATAATGATGGCAATAGCTGCCCATTCACTCAAAGTTAGATGTTGATAAGGTCCTCTACCACAGTGCTATATAGCAGTGCTGTAGGGGTTAGAGGGGTAAAGTGGGACAGTGCTATATAGCAGTGTTGTAGGGGTTAGAGGGGTAAAGTGGGGTGTATGTTTGATAAGGTCCTCTACCACAGTGCTATATAGCAGTGTTGTAGGGGTTAGAGGGGTAAAGTGGGGTGTATGTTTGATAAGGTCCTCTACCACAGTGCAATATAGCAGTGTTGTACGGGTGAGAGGGGTAAAGTGGGGTGTATGTTTGATAAGGGCCTCTACCACAGTGCTATATAGCAGTGTTGTAGGGGTTAGAGGGGTAAAGTGGGGTGTATATTTGATAAGGTCCTCTACCACAGTGCAATATAGCAGTGTTGTACGGGTTAGAGGGGTAAAGTGGGGTGTATGTTTGATAAGGGCCTCTACCACAGTGCTATATAGCAGTGCTGTAGGGGTTAGAGGGGTAAAGTGGGGTGTATGTTTGATAAGGTCCTCTACCACAGTGCTATATAGCAGTGTTGTAGAGGTTAGAGGGGTAAAGTGGGGTGTATGTTTGATAAGGGCCTCTACCACAGTGCTATATAGCAGTGCTGTAGGGGTTAGAGGGGTAAAGTGGGGTGTATGTTTGATAAGGTCCTCTACCACAGTGCTATATAGCAGTGTTGTAGGGGTTAGAGGGGTAAAGTGGGGTGTATGTTTGATAAGGTCCTCTACCACAGTGCTATATAGCAGTGCTGTAGGGGTTAGAGGGGTAAAGTGGGGTGTATGTTTGATAAGGGCCTCTACCACAGTGCTATATAGCAGTGTTGTAGGGGTTAGAGGGGTAAAGTGGGGTGTATGTTTGATAAGGGCCTCTACCACATTGCTATATAGCAGTGTTGTAGGGGTTAGAGGGGTAAAGTGGGGTGTATGTTTGTTGCAGATAAATTGTCATTAGGATTTGGAATAAAATGCTGCTACTCGTCTTCAGAACGTCGCCCCAGTTCATGTTCCAGTGTGGGGTCCTCTGCCAGCCTGTCCCCATCTTCCTCCACACCCTCCACACTCCCAAACTCCCCCGAGGAGCCCGACCTTCGACTACCTGATGTTCAGTTTGCTGATGATGGCGCCCACTGGTACAGATCTTCTGCAGTTGTACTCAGGTTTCACAGGTACCCTTAAACATCATCTATTGTTGTACTCAGGTTTCACAGGTATGCTTAAACATCATCTATTGTTGTACTTGAGTTTCACAGATACCCATAAACATCCTCCATTATTGTACTTGAGTTTCACAGGTACCCATAAACATCATCTATCGTTGTACTCAGGTTTCACAGGTCCCCATAAATATCATCCATTGTACTCAGGTTTCACAGGTACCCATAAACATCCTCCACTACTGTACTCGAGTTTCATAGGCACCCATATAAACATCCACCATTATTGTACTCAAGTTTCATAGGCACCCATATAAACATCCTCCATTATTGTACTGTGAGTTTCTGGATAGGCACCCATCAGTTTCATAGGCACAACATCCATATAAACATGATTATTGTACCTGTTTCATAGGCACCCATATAAACATCCTCCATTATTGTACTTGAGTTTCATAGGCACCCATATAAACATCCTCCATTATTGTAATTTGATAATTTCATCCATTGTACTCAGCACATATAAACATCCTCATCATTATTGTACTTGAGTTTCATAGGCACCCATATTCATAGGCAACATCCTCCATTGTTGTACTTGAGTTTCATAGGCACCCATATAAACATCCTCCATTATTGTACTTGAGTTTCATAGGCACCCATATAAACATCCTCCATTATTGTACTTGAGTTTCATAGGCACCCATATAAACATCCTCCATTATTGTACTTGAGTTTCATAGGCACCCATATAAACATCCTCCATTATTGTACTTGAGTTTCATAGGCACCCATATAAACATCCTCCATTACTTGTTTCATAGGCACCCATATAAACATCCTCCATTATTGAGAGTTTCATAGGCACCCATATAAACATCCTCCATTATTGTACTTGAGTTTCATAGGCACCCATATAAACATCCTCCATTATTGTTGTACTTGAGTTTCATAGGCACCCATATAAACATCCTCCATTATTGTACTTGAGTTTCATAGGCACCCATATAAACATCCTCCATTATTGTACTTGAGTTTCATAGGCAGTTTCATAGGCACCCATATAAACATCCTCCATTATTGTACTTGAGTTTCATAGGCACCCATATAAACATCCTCCATTGTTGTACTTGAGTTTCATAGGCACCCATATAAACATCCTCCATTGTTGTACTTGAGTTTCATAGGCACCCATATAAACATCCTCCATTATTGTACTTGAGTTTCATAGGCACCCATATAAACATCCTCCATTATTGTACTTGAGTTTCATAGGCACCCATATAAACATCCTCCATTATTGTACTTGAGTTTCATAGGCACCCATATAAACATCCTCCATTATTGTACTTGAGTTTCATAGGCACCCCATATAAACATCCTCCATTGTTGTACTTGAGTTTCATAGGCACCCATATAAACATCCTCCATTATTGTACTTGAGTTTCATAGGCACCAATCATATAAACATCCTCCATTATTGTAATTTGAGTTTCATAGGCATATAAACATCCTCCATTATTGTACTTGAGTTTCATAGGCACCCATATAAACATCCTCCATTATTGTACTTGAGTTTCATAGGCACCCATATAAACATCCTCCATTATTGTACTTGAGTTTCATAGGCACCCATATAAACATCCATATAAACATCACTCCATCCTCCATTATTGTACTTGAGTTTCATAGGCACCCATATAAACATCCTCCATTATTGTACTTGAGTTTCATAGGCACCCATATAAACATCCTCCATTATTGTACTTGAGTTTCATAGGCACCCATATAAACATCCTCCATTATTGTACTTGAGTTTCATAGGCACCCATATAAACATCCTCCATTGTTGTACTTGAGTTTCATAGGCACCCATATAAACATCCTCCATTGTTGTACTTGAGTTTCATAGGCACCCATATAAACATCCTACCATTATTGTACTTGAGTTTCATAGGCACCCATATAAACATCCTCCATTGTTGTACTTGAGTTTAAATGAGTTTCATAGGCACCCATATAAACATCCTCCATTATTGTACTTACCAATTTAGAAGGAGAAATAATAGTTATCACCTGGCTGATTGGACAGATGCTCAGTTATGCTATTTTTCATGGTATTGTTTGCCCAGGAAAGTAATGTGTAGCCTTATATATAATTAACCCATACAGTTGAATTATCACTGGCTGGGGCATTAAACTTAATCAATTGACTCACCTATGGGTTTACAAGCTTCACCTGTGTTCTATCTTGGTGTATCTTATCTGTCAGATGAATGTTTGATGGTTCCTGACACTAACACTAAGCGCCACCTTCTCCCTTTTCCTGTGTTCAACACAGTGGTAATCTGGTGCCAAGCCCTTTCATTACATTACAAAAAATACTTCTACTTAACACATTGACTTACTCACAGGGATTGTAATTAATCAATTATTTAACATACAATTCTCCCTAAAGTGTGTTGTTTTTGCAAGTGAATTAAGAATGCATGGCTAGTAAGCTATCTGTTTACAATACAGATGAATCCAAGTTAGGGAATCCATTGTTTGGCTCTCACCTTACTTGTTTCATTAGCTGGAAGCTGTTGTGGACTTTGAAGAATGTCAAATTACATTATCAATTCATTTACCTAGGTATGATTGTGCAATACACCGGGACCGAAGGTTTAAGTTTAGCAACACATGTTAGATTGCTTTTGAAGATTGTTCTCCAGACTGATGCCATCTGGCAGAGAGGCCAGGACAGCAGGGCCTGAGAGAGACATCAGGGTGTGACTATCACAGTTACTATTAGAACTCCTTTCTGTGAGCCTATATACCCAGACCGCCTCTATGCTGTAGTGGTTAGAGCGCCGCCCGGAGAGCGGAAGGTCGCGGGTTCAATCCCCGACCGCGTCATACCAAAAGACGTTAAAATATGGTACTTGTTTGTCCCTGCCTGGCGCTCGGCATTACTGGTTACAACAAGGACTGGTCGGCTCGGAGTCAGTATAATGTGTCTAAGTGGGGTATTCATGCTTCACTGCGGCATGGTATCTCAGTGTGCTAGCACTATAAAACCAGGTTAAGTCTGGGCTAGTACAAACAGCCGCACATACACATACACACGCATGCACGTCGTCATATGAGCAAAATATTCTCAAGCATGACGTTAAACCCAATTTCACCTCTCCTCACCTATATACCCAGGACCCTTTTTGGCACCATTGCATCCATTTGGGAGGTGACTTTGCTTCCTGCCTCATACTACAGACCGAAATAAGTTCAAGCTCATACCTAATTTTGCAATGAATTTCTCTCACTCTCAAAAACCTGTGGACGTGCAGGTTACAATTGATTTTTAGCAACCCATGCTAGTCATAAGAGCTGACTAAGGGGATTCAGTGTTCAGGCTCACTAACCTTGGCTGATGCATGTCTTTGTATCCCAGTAGTGTAGGTTGATGCTCATGACATCAGTCACTGGCTTGTCTGGTCCAGACTGGATTATTTAGAGACTGCCATCATATAACTGGAATATAGAGTTTGGTGTTGAACAACAGTCAAACAAACCAAACACTCATGAAACTATTGTAATACATTTTAATGTGACCGAAAGTGAATCTGTGGCAGTGAAAAGGGTTCAGTGTGTACATCATACAGCATGTAATACAGTTCTGTAATGGAGGAGGAGGATCAGTGGATCAGTATGGACTTTCTGCAATGTTGATAGCAGCAGAACTTGCTCATGCTGGATATACACTGTCAGCAGTGTGCGAAATAGTTGCTAAATGTTGCTAGCCAGTCGGGTTAGCTATGCCTTAAAGTTGCTAGCCCACAACATACTTCACTAGCCCGAAATTTGAATGTAGAAACCAAGCAAAAGATTACAAAAATAGATGAGAATAAGATATTGTCGGCATGACACAGGTTTCATCATTAAGCTGCAAATATGTTTTTTATCAGGCCATAATCTTGCATGATTTCAAAGTGTACTAAAGAGAGATATATACATACAAAATGACCCCATAAGAAATTCACTAGCCACTCGGGCCAGTGACTGTTGAGATTTGCTGTCCCAACTGTATTTTTACTAGCCACTGACTAGCGGGCCAGTGGCTATTTCGCACACTGACTATCAGCAAGTTGGAGTGATGAGTAAAACTAATGTATTGATGGGCAGTGGTTTGCTAAACCTTCATTAACAACAACAAGCAATGCAGGAAATGGATTTAATGGTTTAAATAGATTTGAATTTAATCTATAAACTGTAGAGGAAAACTTGAAAGCCTAACATTTACTAATGAGTTACTATTTGCACTTGCACGTCAGGCTACAAATAAGCAGTTCCCTGTTAGGTGAGCCTCAGAACCTTTTAATGTATCATCATCGTCATCTATTCCTTCATGAGCTGCTTCACATCAGTGTACTGCTGAGTCAGACAATGTGTAGATGCTTGTGCCGGAACATATGTATCCAGCTGAACACCCCCACACGGCCACTTCAACCCACACACAAATTGTCCACGTCATTTATTCACTAGCTCCTCAATGTAATCTCTTCACTTTCTCTTAAATATCAACCAAGTAGGCTTTTCCACAACCCTTACAATCCCCCTAATCAGATTAACTGATTTCATGTAATGTCAGCACTTAACTTCAATATCCAAGAGAGATTTGATTTTGTGTAAATTCTGTATGTTCAGTGTAATGGCACATAAGGGACATAAGGCTGGGAGGATGTGTCTGTGTTGGTGTGCTCAGTATCATGCTACCTTGCTGCTGAGGCAAACATGTTCTCCAGGAACCTTGCACCATTATGTAAATACAGAAATACACTTAGAATCATGTCCAATATTAACCATATTTGCATCTTTTCAGATGGTTTAACAAAGCTAGAACAGATGATCCAAGAAAAAATCCAGTTCTTTCCAAGTAAGATTTGACTGTGGTTCATACATATTCTGTAGAAAAGAAACCCTCGATTGTGGAAGGGAGAGTCGTACTGGCTGCCGAGGGGTGTGAGCAGTCTCTGTAGTCTCCTCTACCTGGCTCTGTTGTGTAGGGCTGTGTCAGGTTTACCCAACAAATGATGTGTTTAGATCAGCAGTGGGTCAAGTGTTGACTATCATAGTTCAATGGCGTGATGTACAGGTGTTAATGTCAGCATCATAGAGAAGCCGATCAGTCAGCATAAAAGTTAAAATGCAAATTGACCAAGTACAGTCCATTTGATTTCATTTGAGACCGATGAATTTCTCACAAGGGCGGTGGGGTAGCCTAGTGGTTAAAGCGTTGGCTCGTCACACCGAAGACCCAGGTTCAAATCCCCACATGGGTACAGTGTGTGAAGCCCATTTCAGGTGTCCCCAGCCGTGATGTTGCTGGAATATTTCTAAAAGCGGCGTAAAACCAAACTCAGTCAGTCAGTCAGAATTGCTCACAAACATAAAATATAATAATTGCAACAAATTGCACCAAATTTTGCAGTCACATGAAATCGACAGACCATTTCTGATGATTTGTCTCAACCGAATAAAAAAGTTGTTTAACAAACGATCATTATTTGTTGTCACTTTTCGCTCTTTTTACAAGGGGGGGGCCACTTGCTGGTAGAACAGCCAGGTAATCAACAAGCGTGTGTAGTGAAATTTTACATGTGCAACTCACACACCTGTCTGTTCTACCAGTAAGTGGTCTCCCTCGTAACAAATAGCGAAAAGTAAGATAATAAATAAGATGATTGTTGAATTGAACCCTCCCTGATTCCACATGGTGATGGTTCCAGGTCTACGAGCATGATTTCTTGGCTTCACCAAAGTGGTAGATATCTTTTGGTGTTCCTTCCACATAACACTAACTTGAAGTAAAAGATAAAACTCCACTATTTTATTCAATTTGATGAACGTAAGAGGCAACTAATGGGATCGGGTGGTCACGATCACTGACTTGGTTGATACATGTCATGGTATCCAAATTGAATAGATTGATGCTCATGATGCTGATCACTGGATTGTCTGGTCCAGACTCAATTATTTACAAATCGCCGCCATATTGCTGAGTGCGGCATTAAACAACCAACCAACAGACCGCCGCCATTTAGCTGGAATGATGCTGAGTGCGGTGTTAAACAACCAACCGATTTGATGAGAAGAAATGCACTATTCTTTCAATCAAAACTTGATAATCCCAGTATAGGCTAGGGTCGAATAATGAGCACACTTTATGAATAACAACTTCTTTATTTTGTGAGTGCGACATTTCGATAAAGATTCTTGTACCGTTGTCAAGCAGGAATGATACATGAATAGGAGGGAGATGTATATCAAGACGAGACAGGGAGTTGATGGTATGAATTTCCATGTCTTACTCACGAAACGTTGCACTCATAAAATAAAGAAGTTGTTATTCATAAAGTGTGTCTATCTTCTTTGAGTGGCATTGTTTAGAAGTTGGAGAGTAATATACGGACAAACTTTATGGATAAACAACTTCTTTATTCGGTAGATGCGACGTTTCGATACAGATACACCAAACGAAAATTAACCGTAGCCATCCACATCAAACGACACCGACCCCTGATCAATAGAGACCAAGGTTACTTCATCCCCTCTGCGTACGATGAACTCCTCAACCAACCGTAACTGGTTGTATTACTTGTACAAACACCCGTAAACCCCATTGGCTTCTACATGTATCACTTGTCACTGGCTTCTACTTGTAATCCCTTGTCATCACATTGTTACTGTACATCCCAATTCACGTCCTTGTTGTTTTAGTTAATTATTTACTGTATATATAGTCCCCTGTTATCTACCTTACTCATACTTGCTTGACAACGATACAAGAATCTGTATCGAAACGTCGCATCTACCAAATAAAGAAGTTGTGTATCCATAGAGTTTGTCTGTATAAGTGTGTCAATAATTGTACGTCTCAACAAGTTCTCCAGATCCCATTCCTATGTCAATGTGTGTTCTTCCGTTCAGCAAGTGCCACATTCTGTCAGCAAGTGGACTACGGCTGGTGGAGCTCCGGACAGACCCTGGGGGACTTGTGTTTCATCACTGGGAGTTCCTCCATGAGACTCCACCAGTGGACTTTACACTCAAGAGATCAAGGGTCAAGGCCATTCCAGAGGGGACCACCACAGCTACTGTCATGGCAGAAGATACCTTTGGAAATATTTTAAAGAAGAGAGTGAAGATAGATGATTTTGAATGAAGCTGCTTTATGGTAGTCTGTTAATCAGTTCAGGAATGGCTGCAAGAAATGGCTGTTGATTCAGTCTGACAATCTGACAATACTGCATGAAATGTTGCTTATAAATGAAATATTATGGGACTATCTACTGTTGATTTTGGGGACAGCTGCACTTACTCTCCCCTGCCTCAACACAAACACGTTCATGCACAAGTTTATTTCCTATTTAATCCAAGCTAGAGGCTATAATCTTAACCTGATATTCCATAAGTTCTGCGGGTACATTTATTGTTTTGTTGGTTTTGTTTTGTTGACGTAGCTTTATGTTATATACACATGTTAGACATTTATTGTGATGTATTATTGTTTATTTAGTAACTGTCCAGTAGTGAGTGACATGCACAGGAGGAAAGCTACCAGCATAATGAACCCATACGCACAGGTTTCATCTATTGCAATTTGGATAAGTAAATAAAAATTTAATTTTTGTTCAGGCAAAGGAAAACTTACTTTTTGGATCTGTTGATTCTAATTTGGTCATCATTTGTTGCAACAGACAATGTAAATTAACTTACCCAGTATTCATTTAACAGAATCTGTTTTCAGTTATACTTTCTTCTCTATATATTTTGCATCATTTGAAAATATTTACGTATTCAACATCTGAAAAAATGACATATGACTGACATTGTGAGTTACCTCCCTTCCATCAGGTGCCACAATGGCCAGTCAGTACATACACTAGTATATTGCTCACACAACTCACTGACAGTCGTACGCAGCACCACGCCTTCCTAGGATTGATTTCTGCTTTGTTTAAACCTCATGCCAACTGTTTGAGACCCTTAGTATATGCACGTTACAACAGGTGAGAGTATTCTCACCTTAGATGTAGGCACTACTTGCAGTACAACTAGGTATCCCTGATACTGATTGTGGTGTTCACACCATGCATCCGATCCACTATCTTCCAATACAATGACTAAGATACAGATTCCTAATATATTTTACATTTCCGTGTTTGTGTAGACCTGGTGTCCCACACTGTCTACTTAGAAACCACTCAACACAGTTTATTTGGGGATTGCCTGCCTGATGTTGTTAAACTCTGCCCATATTTTTCTGCTGGCACATTATTGCCACGTGTAATATTACTCTATGTGTTCGTATGATGAAGCATCAAAATAAGCCATCGTTTGAAAAACACTGTTTTGAAACTTGAAAACATTATTTCCCCATGTCAGTTTCACACTACAAAAATGATTGTGAGTTTTGCTCGGAGTGATAGAATTGTGTCCCAGGTTACTGTTTTTGAAACGTAATGGTTCAGGTAATGATGGGACTGACAGATGGTCAGCTGTCTGAGGCTGGTCAGTGATGACAGGTGTGGTCACCCAATGTCTACTGAATGAAAGAGTGACTATTTCTATACAGATATTTTTACATGTGTCATTTTGTACAATATAGGCTTTTGTATTCTTTTTTGAATGGTGTGTATATTTTTTCTGTTATTTATGAAACTTTTACTGATAAATGGGTATTGTGTAGAGATGGTCGATGGAATACATATAGTGATGTCAGCGTATAAGAATAAGATGTCATTGCATTAAAGTATTAAAAAAATCAGACGGTTCATTTTTCTGTTTTTCAAGTAACAAGGCATTTTCAGTTCATTTTATGAATACAAGGGTCTGTCCACTCTTTTCCTAATTTAAAAAAAAAACACATTGGGGTCAGTAGTTTTTTTATCATTCAATGTGGTAACAATGACTTAATGACTTGAACTACAAGTTACACAAGGTGTTCTGATAATCAGTAATGTATCAAGGACAAAGTTATATGTGTTTCATGGCCATCGTGGGTGCCACCAGTTGATATTAGTCCATGTAGTTACAGCTGACAGCTGTAGTTTCAGTTTCCCTGTAGTCGGAACTGATGGGTCAGGACGAGCACAGGAATGCTGATCTTCCTTCCTAACAGACAAACTCTAGGATTCTATTGGTGACATTCTGCCTTGTCATGCGGCAGGCAATCATTAGACAGGAGCTTAAAATAGGCCACAAAATACCCACTATTCTGATCTCACTTGGCACCATATATACACCATCTCCATCTCAGACAATACTGGCAATACTGAATAAAACCTGTGTTCATGACTATTGTTTGGATAATTGACACATGTCATCATTTCTTGCTGGTGACATCGTGGCCAAAGGATTCACAAGGTTAACAACCCATTTACATTATAGAGATATCATGTGGAAGGAGTCAGCATTCCTCGGCCGGCCGGGCTGGCAGTGGGACACACTTGACCTCTGTTGTAGTCAGGGATGTTCCATCCTATACTTCTCACTGGTGCTTCTCATGTTTACAGTCTTATTTCTATGTTGTTGAAGCTGATCTAGTCACAAGTATGACAGTCAGGTAGAGTCACCGTCAACAGTCCTGCAGCAGTGGGACTACCCATCAGTGATCCACAGAAAGCACCAGGACCTTCTGCTCGACCAGGCTCTGACCTGGTGCCTTACCTCTGCCAATCTCCAACATAACGAACAAGTCAGTTTAGTGTTCAGGAAAACATTGTTTGTTGGAAACCTATCCTGATGATCACCAGGACTAAATGCATTAATGAAGAGATTGTCCTTCACCCTCTCCATATTGCACCACATTATTAATTTTCAAAGTGAATCGCCTTCTGACATTGTTTGTATTGTTGATCAAAACTGTTTCATAACAGAATCATTTGTGTTCACCTTGCAGGATTTATTTTACCAATACTTCCCTGACTCTTGAAATGTATACTATATTAATGACATATTTATGCTGAGTTGAAATATAGGAGATGTTAGAATCATCAAAGATCCTTGTATTTATACATCTTGTAGAGAGTAACATTTACAGCAGAATCAGATGTAAAGCTTGAACATTTTGTAGCACTTCCAGTATGCTCAAATACTATCATTCCATTACAGCTGTATCATTGTATGCATGTGTATGGTATTTACAGAGGGTGTTACAAACAACATCAGCTGATCATAATTAGAGAAGGAAAACCCCTTGTAATTATTTGAGGAATACAAACTTTGTATTTTATTTAAAAATATAGAAAAGCATGATCATTAATATTTTCTGTAAGTTGAACGCAATATTTTATAGTGTGTATCTGTATGGTTCGTACTGTTGACTTCTGTGTAGTTAGTACCCTGGGATCAGTGTACACACAGTGTACAGCCAGCTAGAGAAGGGTGAGAGGCGTGTCTTACTGCACCAGTAAAAGGGAGCTGTCAAGGGGCGAGTTTACTGCACTAGTGTAGCGAGCTTGGGAAGGGTGAGAGGCGTGTCTTACTGCACCAGTAAAAGGCAGCTGTCAAGGGGCGAGTTTACTGCACTAGTGTAGCGAGCTTGGGAAGGGTGAGGGGCGTATCTTACTGCACCAGTAAAGGGGAGCTGTCGAGGGGCGTAGTTTACTGCACTAGTGTAGTGAGCTTGGGAAGGGAGAAGGGTGAGGGGCGTGTCTTACTGCACCAGTAAAGGGGAGCTGTCAAGGGGCGTAGTTTACTGCACTAGTGTAGTGAGCTTGGGAAGGAGAAGGGTAAGGGCGTGTCTTACTGCACCAGTAAAGGGGAGCTTTACCGTCGAGGGGAGCTTGGGAGGGTTACTGCACCAGTGTAGCCGGCTTGGGAAGGGCGAGCTTGGGAGGGTAAGGGCGCGTGTCTTACTGCACCAGTAAAGGGAGCTGTCGAGGGGCGTGAAGTTTACTGCACTAGTGTAGCGAGCTTGGGAAGGGTGAGGGGCGTGTCTTACTGCACCAGTAAAGGGGAGCTGTCGAGGGGCGTAGTTTACTGCACTAGTGTAGCGAGCTTGGGAAGGGTAAGGGGCGTGTCTTACTGCACCAGTAAAGGGGAGCTGTCGAGGGGCGTAGTTTACTGCACTAGTGTAGCGAGCTTGGGAAGGGAGAAGGGTGAGGGGACTTGTCTTACTGCACCAGTAAAGGGGAGCTGTCGAGGGGCGTAGTTTACTGCACTAGTGTAGCGAGCTTGGGAAGGGAGAAGGGTGAGGGGCGTGTCTTACTGCATCAGTACATCTGGTAGGGGAAGGGAAGCTGTCGAGGGGCGTAGTTTACGGCACTAGTGTAGCGAGCTTGGGAAGGGAGAAGGGTGAGGGGCGTGTCTTACTGCACCAGTAAAGGGGAGCTGTCGAGGGGCGTAGTTTACTGCACTAGTGTAGCCAGCTTGGGAAGGGAGAAGGGTGAGGGGTATGTCTTACTGCACCAGTAAAGGGGAGCTGTTGGGCGGTAGTTTACTGCACTAGTGTAGCCAGCTGGGAAGGGAGAATGGTAAGGGGCGTGTCTTACTGCATCAGTACATCTGGTAGGGGAAGGGAAGCTGTTAAATGGTGTGTGTTGCTGCATCAATAAAATATGCCAGTTAAAGGAAGGTGTTGAGGGTGTGTCTTACTGCATCAGTACAGCATATAAAGTAAGTGGAAGGTGTTGAGGGGTGTGTCCCACTGCATCAGTACAGCATACAAAGTAAGGGAGGGTGTTGAGGGGTGTGTCTTACTGCATCAGTACAACATATAAAGTAAATGGAAGGTGTTGAGGGGTGTGTCCCACTGCATCAGTACAGCATACTAGGTAAGGGAAGGAGTTGAGGGGTGTCCTACTGCATCAGTACAGCATACTATGTAAGGGGAAGGTGTTAAGGGGTGTGTCTTACTGCATCATTACAGCATACTAAGTAAGGGGAAGGTGTTAAGGGGTGTGTCTTACTGCATCAGTACAGCATACTAAGTAAGGGGAAGGTTTTGAGGGGTGTGTCTTACTGCATCAGTACAGCATACTAGGTAAGGGAGGGTGTTAGGGGTGTGTCTTACTGCATCAGTACAGCATACTAAGTAAGGGGAAGGTGTTGAGGGGTGTGTGTTACTGCATCAGTACAACATACTAGGTAAGGGAAGGAGTTGAGGGGTGTGTCCTACTGCATCAGTATAGCATACAAAGTAAGGGGAAGGTGTTGAGGGGTGTGTCTTACTGCATCAGTACACCATGTTAGGTAAGGGGAAGGTGTTAAGGGATGTGTCTTACTGCATCAGTACAGCATACAAAGTAAGGGGAAGGTGTTAAGAGGGGGGGGGGTGTGTTTTACTGCATCAGTACAGCATGCTAAGTAAGTGAGGGTGTTGAGGGGTGTGTCTTACTGCATCAGTACAGCATGCTAAGTAAGTGAGGGTGTTGAGGGGTGTGTCTAACTGCATCAGTACGGCATACTAAGTAAGTGAGGGGTGTGTCTTATTGCATCAGTGCAGCATGTTAGGTAAGGGGAAGGTGTTAAGGGGGGTGTCTTATTGCATCAGTACGGCATACTAAGTAAGTGAGGGTGTTAAGTGGGATGTCTTATTGCATCAGTACAGCATACTAAGTAAGGGAGGGTGTTGAGGGGTGTGTCTTACTGCATCAGTATATCATGCTATTAGTAAGGGAAGGTGTTGAGGGGTGTGTGTCTTACTGCATCAGTACATCATACTAAGTAAGGGAACATTTTGAGGGGTACAGCGTGTTAGGTAAGGGGAAGGTGTTGAGGGGCATGTCTTCTGCATCAGTACAGCATACTAAGTAAGGCAGGTTGATGGGTGTGTCATACTGCATCAGTACAGCATGTTAGGTAAAGGGAATGTGTTGAGGGGCATGGCTTACTGCATCAGTACAGCATGCAAATTAAGGGAATGTGTTGAGGGACATGGCTTACTGCATCAGTACAGCATACTAAGTAAGGGAAGGTGTTGAGGGGTATGTCTTACTGCACCAGTACAGCATACTAAGTAAGGGACGATGTTGCTGGGCATGTTTTCTACATCAGTTCATCATACTAAGTAAGGGAGGGTGTTGAGGGGTGTGTCTTACTGCATCAGTACAGCATACTAAGTAAGGGACGATGTTGCTGGGCATGTTTTCTACATCAGTACAGCATACTAAGTAAGGGAGGGTGTTGAGGGGTGTGTCTTACTGCATCAGTACAGCATGTTTGGTAAGGGGAAGGTGTTGTGGGGCGTGTCTTACTACATCAGTACAGCATACTAAGTAAGGAAAGGTGTTGAGGGGGGAGTTGAGGGGGGTGTTATCTGCATCAGTACAACATACTAAATAAGGGAGGGTGTTGAGGGGCGTGCTTTCTGCATCAATAAATCATACTAAGTAAGGGAGGGTGTTGAGGGGTGTGTCTTTCTGAATCAGTACAGCATACTAAGTAATGGAAGGTGTTGAGGGCCTTGTCTAACTACATCGGTTCAGCTTGGTAGGTAAGGGGAAGGTGTTGAGGGGTGTGTCTTACTGCATCAGTACAGCATACTAAGTAAGTGAGGGTGTTGAGGGGTATGTCTTACTGCATCAGTTCAGCATGGTAGGTAAGGGGAATGTGTAGAGGGATGTGTCTTACTGCATCAGTACAGCATACTAAGTAAGGGAGGGTGTTGAGGGGCTTGTTAACTAGAGCAGTTCAGCATGGTAGGTAAGGGGAATTTGTTGAGGGGTGTGTCTTACTGCATCAGTTCAGCATACTAAGTAAGGGAAGGCATAGAGGGGTGTGTCTTACTGCATCAGTACAGCATACTAAGTTACGGAAGGTGTAGAGGGGCTTGTCTAACTACATCAGTTCAGCTTGGTAGGTCAGGGGAAGGTGTTGAGGGGTGTGTCTTACTGCATCAGTATAGCATCCTAAGTAAGGGAAGATGTTAAGGGGTGTGTCTTACTGCATCAGTACAGCATACTAAGTAAGGGAGGATGTTGAGGGGCATGGCTTACTGCATCAGTACAGCATACTAAGTAAGTGAAGGCATTGAGGGGTTTGTCTTACTGCATCAGTACAGCATACTTAGTAAGGGAAGGTGTTGAGGGTCTTGTCTTACTGCATCAGTACAGCATACTTAGTAAGGGAAGGTGTTGAGGGGCTTGTCTTACTGCATCAGTACAGGATACTTAGTAAGGGAAGGTGTTGAGGGGGGTGTCTTACTACATCAGTACATCATACTAATTGAGGGTGTGTCTTGCTGCATCAGTTCAACATGTTAGGTTACGGGAAGGGCATGGCTTACTGCATCAGTATAGCGTGTTAGGTAGGGGGAAGGTGTAGAGGGGTGTGTATTACTGTATCAGTACAGCATACTTAGTAAGGGGAGGTGTTGAGGGGGGTGTCTTACTGCATCAGTACAGCATGTTTGGTAAGGGGAAGGTGTTGAGTGGTGTGTCTTACTGCATCAGTACAGCATGTTTGGTAAGGGGAAGGTGTTGAGGGGCGTGTTATCTGCATCAGTACAACATACTAAATAAGGGAGGCTGTTGAGGGGCGTGCTTTCTGCATCAGTACAGCATACTTAGTAAGTGAGGGTGTTGAGGGGTATGTCTTACTGCATCAGTAGAGCGTGTTAGGTAAGGGGAAGGTGTAGAGGGGCGTGTCTTCGGCATCAGTACATCATACTAAATATGTGAAGGTGTTGAGGGGCTTGTCTTGCTGCATCAGTACAGCATTCTAATTAAGGGAAGATGTTGAGGGGCTTGTCTTACTGCATCAGTACAGCATACTAATTAAGGGGAAGGTGTTGAGGGGGGTGTCTTACTGCATCAGTACAGCATGTTTGGTAAGGGGAAGGTGTTGAGTGGTGTGTCTTACTGCATCAGTACAGCATGTTTGGTAAGGGGAAGGTGTTGAGGGGCGTGTTATCTGCATCAGTACAACATACTAAATAAGGGAGGCTGTTGAGGGGCGTGCTTTCTGCATCAGTACAGCATACTTAGTAAGTGAGGGTGTTGAGGGGTATGTCTTACTGCATCAGTAGAGCGTGTTAGGTAAGGGGAAGGTGTAGAGGGACGTGTCTTCGGCATCAGTACATCATACTAAATATGTGAAGGTGTTGAGGGGCTTGTCTTGCTGCATCAGTACAGCATTCTAATTAAGGGAAGATGTTGAGGGGCTTGTCTTACTGCATCAGTACAGCATACTAATTAAGGGGAAGGTTTTGAGGGGTGTGTCTTACTACATCAGTACAGCATACTTAGTAAGGGCAGGTTTTGAGGGGTGTGTCTTACTGCATCTGTACAGTATGTTAGGTAAGGGGAAGTTGTTGATGGGTGTGACTTACTGTGTAACCTCAACATGTAAGGTTAGGGGAAGGTGGAGAGGTGCATGGTTTATTTCATCTGTACAGCATACTAAGTAAGGGAAGGTGTTGAGGGGTGTGTCATACTGCATCAGTACAGCATACTAATTAAGGGAAGGTGTTCAGGTGCGTGTTTTCTGCATCAGTACAGCATACTAAGTAAGGGAAGGTGTTGAGAGGCGTGTCTTCTCCATCAGTACAGCATTCTAAGTAACGGAAGGTGTTAAGGGGCATGGCTTACTGCATTGGTACAGCATACTAAGTAAGTTAAGGTGTTGAGGTGCTTGTCTGTCTGCATCAGTACAGTATACTCAATATGGGAAGGTGTTAAGGGGCATGGCTTACTGCATCAGTACAGCGTACTAAGTGAGTTAAGGTGTTGAGAGGCGTGTCTTCTCCAAGTACAGCAGTTAAGGTGTTGTACAGAGTTGAGGGCTTGTCTTACTGCGCATGTCTTCTCCATCAGTACAGCATACTAAGTAAGGGCATACTAAGTAAGGAAGGTGTTGAGGGGCATGGCTAAGGTGTTGACTGCACTGCATCAGTACAGTAAGGGAAGGTGTTGAGGTGTGTGTACTACTGCAAGTAAGGGGTAAGGTGTTGAGGGGTGTGTCTTACTGCATCAGTACAGTATACTAAGTAAGGGAGGATGTTGAGGGGTGTGTCTTACTGCATCAGTACATCATACTAAGTAAGGGAGGATGTTGAGGGGTGTGTCTTACTGCATCAGTACAGCATACTAAGTAAGGGGAGGGTATGTTGAGGGGGGGTGTGTCTTCACTGCATACTAATTGAGGGGGAGTACAGTATACTGCATCAGTAAGGGGAAAGAGTTGAGGGGGTGTGTCTTACTGCATCAGTACAGTATGTTAGGTAAGGGGAAGGTGTTGAGGGGTGTGTCCTACTGCATCAGTACAGTATACTAAGTAAGGGGAGGATGTTGAGGGGTGTGTCTTACTGCATCAGTACAACATACTAAGTAAGGGAGGATGTTGAGGGGTGTGTCTTACTGCATCAGTACAACATACTAAGTAAGGGAGGATGTTGAGGGGGTGTCTTACTGCATCAGTACAGTATACTAAGTAAGGGAAAGAGTTGAGGGGTGTGTCTTACTGCATCAGTACAGTATGTTAGGTAAGGGGAAGGTGTTGAGGGGTGTGTCTTACTGCATCAGTACAGTATACTTAGTAAGGGAAGGAGTTGAGGGGTGTGTCTTACTGCATCAGTACATCATACTAAGTAAGGGAGGATGTTGAGGGGTGTGTCTTATTGCATCAGTACATCATTCTAAGTAAGGGAGGATGTTGAGGGGTGTGTCTTACTGCATCAGTACAGCATACTTAGTAACGGAAGGTGTTGAGGGAAGTGTCTTACTGCATCAGTTCAGCATCGTAGGTAAGGGGAATGTGTAGAGGGGTGTGTCTTACTGCATCAGTACAGCATACTTAGTAAGGGAAGGCGTAGAGGGGTGTGTCTTACTGCATCAGTACATCATTCTAAGTAAGGGAGGATGTTGAGGGGTGTGTCTTACTGCATCAGTACAGCATACTTAGTAACAGAAGGTGTTGAGGGAAGTGTTTTACTGCATCAGTACAGCATGGTAGGAAGGGGAATGTGTAGAGGGGTGTGTCTTACTGCATCAGTACAGCATACTAAGTAAGGGAAGGCATAGAGGGGTGTGTCTTACTGCATCAGTACAGCATACTAAGTAAGGGAGGGTGTTGAGGGGTGTTTCTTACTGCATCAGTACAGCATACTAAGTAAGGGAAGGCATAGAGGGGTGTGTCTTACTGCATCAGTACAGCATACTAAGTAAGGGAGGGTGTTGAGGGGCTTGTTAACTAGAGCAGTTCAGCATGGTAGGTAAGGGGAATTTGTTGAGGGGTGTGTCTTACTGCATCAGTTCAGCATACTAAGTAAGGGAAGGCATAGAGGGGTGTGTCTTACTGCATCAGTACAGCATACTAAGTAAGGTAAGGTTTTGAGGGGCTTGTCTAACTACATCAGTTCAGCATGGTAGGTAAGGGGAAGGTGTTGAGGGGTGTGTCTTACTGCATCAGTATAGCATGGTGGGTAAAGAAAGAGGTGTGGCTTACTACCTCAATGCAGCATGCCAGGTAAGGGAAAATATTGATGAACAATGCTTACTACAGCATGGAGGGAAGGGGAAGATGTTTAGGGATATTTCCATCCTTTATTGCAGTTGAAAATGCCTTGGTACAAGAATGATCTGTCAAGAAAATAGTTTTGAGGGACCTTGAATCAATGTGGAGGGAAAGAGTTCAGTTAATGTGGATATCGACAGAATTAAGGTGCACTTAAGTAGGTGCAGATTAGGGGATGTTGGGAAGCAGCTTAGAAGGCACATAAGGTTTCAGCAGGTTCAGAGTGGGCATTTGAATTATCAATGAACGTGCTTAGATTCACATGAATATTGACGGGAGCTCAAAAGGCATATGGAATGTCCCTATTCAGTGGGCATTGATTGCAGGATGCTGAGTACATTGAAATTAACAGCATGTGTTTATGTTTTACCTGAAGCTCTTATATTGGTGTGTAGTAATATCATTATACTTAAATGTTTACCACGATCTCTGTGACTGTTATTAATGTTTTGTCGCTCTGCATGATATAGTTTAGTTTTAACTACCATGAAATGTTTCTTCCTTGGCAATCAATTTGTGGTGGACATTTCGTCAGTAATTTTATAACTTTGAACAAATTATTATTTTCATGTATGTTAGTGATTTCCTAACCTAGAGATATTATATTTTACAGATTTATGTTTTGTGTATTTTCATATATTAGATTATTCGCTGCCTTATACATACATAGTCATTGTATTTTCTGCAGAGAAAGCAACTTTTTCTAATGTCTACATTTTCATACATGTTGTCCGAAATGAACTGCTCAATATGAACCGTACAACATCCCTCTGATTCTTGGGATGTCAGTGTTGCCTGTCTGTAGATACTGAGTAACTGAAGACACTGGTCTGGTGGCAGGATGAGATCAGGATAACCCATATCAGCAGCAGAATACAACATGCAGTCCACGTATCGCTTGGGAGGGACTTGGAGCAGTTTCGTATTTATCGATTCAATCAGTAGAAATGAGAATGAATCAACTCTGCATGTTGTAAGACAGACAGAAGTTTATTTTTTCAAATTTCAGCAGGACTCTTATCTTGTTTGTTTTGTGAACAGATTATGTAACGTAAATAGTTGTATTTGACATGCAGAGATAGCACTCACTAACACTAGCTGACAGAGGGTATTGGAGGGGAGGTGAAATTGGGTTTAACGTCGTGCTTGAGAATATTTCGCTCATATGGCAACGTGCATGCGTGTGTATGTGTATGTGTGGCTGCTTGTACTAGCCCAGACTTAGGCTGGTTTTATCGTGCTAGCCCACTGAGATACCACGCCGCAGTGAAGCATGAATACCCCACTCAGACACATTATACTGACTCCGAGCCGACCAGTCCTTGTTGTACCCATTATTGCCGAGCGCCAGTCAGGGACCAACAAGTACCATATTTTAACGTCTTTTGGTATGACGCTGTCGGGGATCGATCCCGCGACCGTCCGCTCTCCGGGCGGAAGCTCTAACCACTACACCCATAGGCGGTCCAGGGTATTGCAACACACAGGTGTCCATACCAAAGTAGGCCCTCTGTACCTGAGGCAGAATACCGGTGCATGCAGTCAACAATGCTGTATCATAGGATGGCTATATGTCTTCCTTGACTTGGGAGAGTGTCACTGCATACACCCAGCTACTATCAACACCTGGGTACTGCCAGATGATCAGCGCCACACACAGTTCACAGACCTTCACCTCCTGGCTTCTTCACCAGTCTGGAATTATACAGCAGTTTTCTTTCCACTTATTAAACACAAACTCTAACAATTTCTATTGTGTACAAATCAGGGTTCATGAGTGTGCCAATATCTGTTCTGCCCCCCACAGAAGTCTCTCTGTTATCTGCTTGGCTGTCTGTATCCATGCTGAAGTTTGTCTTTGTTGCCCTTGATGTCCATACTGGAGGCAGTTAGTTACCAGTCTTCAGAGGCCAGGTTACCTACATCTACGTGTTGGATCACTAATGCTGCATGCCATCAACCTGTTCTTGACACTTTGTGTAGTTGTTGTTGTTGAAGTTACTGAACATGAGCCACTGTGGACCACTGTCGGGGGGGCAGTGTCCAGCCAATAATACTTATATCTGAGGTTGTGAGGGTACCTCATGTTGGCAGCAGAACTACTCGTACCTTGTCAAGCAGCTCGTCACCATCCACCTGGAGTAGTATCACAGTAGGGATGATACTTGCGTCGCGACAACCACCACTGATGCAAGATGTCTGTAGCATTGAATTCACAATTCATATTTTTAAAAGCAAACTTTCAGATTCTAAAAGTTGTCCTTGGAGGGAGAAATCATCTGAAACTCTTGTGGTGATCGTCTTATTTGCCAAAGATAAAATTCAGTCTATTTTGCAAACAGAAGCACTACCTCAAGAAGGTCAATAGCCTGAAGCCATTGCTCTGACAGCTGACACCCAGTGACATGAATGTTGTTATGTCACACTGGCTTACCATCGTTCACCTAACAACAGTTTCCACAGACTTTGATGTGTTTTTCGATTAGGACATCGATCCAATGAGAAGCTTACTCTGTATGAAAATAGTAGGATTTTTTAGTGAGTTGTACAATTCCTCTTCTGTGAGAGGAATCCTGAATATATATATTATTGGATAAAATGCTGGATCACATGAATCGAATGGAAAATCAACGGTCTGTATTTGTCTGTGTACGACATGGGTGAGCAACGGTCACCATGAGGCCAATCACTGACCAGTGGCATCATAGTTCAGTCAGTTTAGATCAAATGTACACAGATCGATCACATCTTTGCCGTATAGGTAACTGTTTCTGTCCCCTAATGGTGTTGTTTCCTCTTCCAACGGTTTGTTGTGTGTTACTTCTATCACGACCAAATTATCCCATCACCAGTTTGCCTTTCGAAATTTCAAACCATCCCTATAGTCTGTTTGCAGTGAAAATGTACTGATGAATTTCACTTTAAACAAGAAAGTAAATCGAATAAAGTGAAATTAAGATTGTGAATCCTCATAATTTTACCTTGCCAACTGAATATTTAAATATCAGAATTTTATTAAACTTAGGATAAAGTTTTTAACAAACTATCATAGTTTCAAATAGTTATTATTGGTTTGTATTACAAGGGTGTATGCACATTAAATGAAACACTGAGAACAGGTAGGGTTGGTCTAAGTTAACACTCATCACGTACCGCATGTGCATTTGTTTCAGTGTTCCAACTACTGCGCTTACCCCCTTGTAATACAAACCAGTAATAGCCATTTGAATCTATGATCATTTGTTAAAGAACGTTTATCCTAAGATGAATAAAGTTCTGAGATTCAAATGTTCAATTGGCAAGGTAAAAAATTATGATATTCAAACGATCAATTGGCGCAATCTTAATTTCACTTTATTTGATTTACTTTCTTGTTTAAAGTGAAATTCATCGGTACGTTTTCACTGCAAACAGACTATAATCTGATCATGCCCATTAATTGCCCTTTGCAAGCTGATGTCATGTATTGTTGACATGATGACTACAGTTGCTCACAACAGTTTCCTATAATCCTTCCGCAGAAATGCAGCAGTGGCTTGTAAGACATACTTTCTGTATGCAGTTTCCTCTAATATGGAACATTCATCCTGGGATCCGTTCCAAAAAGCTGTTGTAGCGTTGCGACTATCGTAACTAATGTGCTTTAATGTAGACTTACAAGAGTTGTTGCGAAGAGCGTTTTGTGAAACGGGACCCTGGAATGCATGCAAGTATCACTGTGCCTCTCATGCGATCCTGGGGTTGGTGGGGTTGCCTAGTGGTTAAAGAGCTCGCTAGTCACGCCTAAGACCGAATTCGATTCCCTGCATGGGTACAATGTGTGAAGCCCATTTCTGGTGTCCCCAGCCGTGATGTTGCTGGAATGTTGCTAAAACCGTCTTTACTCACTCATGTGATCCTGAACTTTCCAAAAGTATATATATATATGAAACAAGTACACCGTCACCCAGTACACTTGTACAAAGACTCCCACCTCTATGTTCTCAGCTAGTTATTTAACAAACGTTCTGTAAGATACTGAAGACAGTGGTGGTGATGATGATGATGATGATGATGATACTCCAGGTGCAACACATCAAGTTGTTTTTTTATGCAGCATGTCCTCAAATTATTTTGAGTTTTGTCCATATTGTTGATGTAACTGTTTCCATACAAAGGGTTTTGCAATGTTTGGTGAGGATGATCCGTGAAACCTATTTATTTAAGTCAAAATACTTCATGCAGCATATGATCTCAGAGCCATCAATTTGATAAATATGTGTCATTGTCATTTTCAACGAGATTTTTAATATCAAATGTGAATTGTATGCAAATTGTGTGAAAGTTCACTGTATAAAGTGTTGCTGTTTTTTCATAACTGTTTCAGAGTAAATATTGATGCAGGGACATATTGACGTTGATGTTGTGATTTGTTGTGTGATAAATGATGCAGCGTTTCAGGGCACTAGACTCCCATGTTGTTTCCAGTCATCAGGCATGTGACATGCTACATTATTGCTGACTGGGCACTTACTCCAGGCTGTGCAAATGGGGATTTTTTCTGGGATGTTTTACTACAAAAATACATGTACACAATGCATGTGTCAAATAACAGTTAAAGTTGTTGCTTTGATTGAAGACGTTTTATGCATGTTGTTAATGAAACACAAAGAAGTATAATGGCAATAGTTTGTTGGATATGTTGTGTATGCTTTAAGCTCAGTATTTTTGTGTTCAAAACCCTCACTACCTGAATTTGATCTTCATTCAGTAAGTAGGGATATTTACGTAATATAGAGTAGTTGAGGGTAATAAGATAACTGTTGTTGGAATAGAAGCAGGACACAGTGGTGTCGGGCCATAGTATTTCATAAAATATTATCAGGCAGAGATGCCAACCCAAAACATTGCAAATAGTGGTTTCAAGGATCAACTAAATTTATTTAGTCAACTAAATACTTAAAATCATGATGGATTCTGAGAAAGATAATATGACACTAATCAAGAGTAAAGCTTTAATTTCACATACCTCCAACAGCAGATTTCCAAGTTATCAGTATTACATTTCTTCTTGTCGTCTCTTTTTGGTGAAAATGTATTTGATCGACGAAAAATTGTTTTTGTCTATATATCCGAATTTAATGAATTTTCTTCAAATTTCATAGAATTTCTAGTGCAATCATATTGGCATAGTTTGAGGCTAACATTCATAGCAACTATGATACAACCGTAGAGGTTGGCATCTCTGATCAGGGTATGTAATATTAACTTTTGACTTTTTATTAACTGAGAAAATATCAGACCCATGTCATATTACATATTATAAATATATATTCTAGAAGTAGATTCCATAGGCTATGCGTCAAGTAAAGTGATGGCATCCTGGAAAGCCAGGTTATGTATCTGGCAAGGCATGACACTGTATGGCATCTGCAAATACTGAAGCACTTACGTAGAATTCTCTGGTTCTTAAGATGGTGGACCAATGTAAATGGCTTCACAACAGAAGGGAGATAACTCTTCATTTCATCCTCACACTTTAGAGGGAAACAACATACCAACTTTGAGCTGCTTTTTAACACTGCACCTTTGGGCTCCTTACCTGAATTGTTTTACTAGCAAATGCAACAGAGTATGTGAAACAGAAAGGAGATGGTTTGATTGTGTATATGTTTATGTCCATACATCTGTCCTCATTCAGATACATCACAATGATAGTTTCCTTTTTTGATATCTCTCTGGTCTAGCCACTTTCAATTCCTTAAATGTGTCTGCATTTGTGCGTGACTCAAACCTGTTGCAATTTTGATTCCGTGCAGAAAAAGCCGATCTATATTTCAATATTGCTGTTTCCTTAAAAAGTACTTTGGATTTTTGGCTACAGGACTTAGAACTGTATTTTGTTTTAAGTGAAATTCTTGACAGATTGTGGATGTCACCTACTTTAATGGCAGCTTGTTTTCATGCAGGTTACAGTGTTGTTGTTGCAGGTTGGTACAGTGTTGTGCCAGTAGTGAGTGGAGCAAGCAGCCACACATGCATGACAGGCATTCCAGGATTTCTAGGCCAACACAGACTGTAAGAAACTCGTCTAAATTAAGTTTATATTATATTAAGCTTATATGACAACATATTCTACTTTTATGATACTGATGTAGATAGTCGTTATGTCTTATTCTAAAAGTTCATGAAATTGTTGATCTTTCTTATC